GAGGCCAGGATTCAGATTTCATCATTATTTCACATGGCTCCTGTCCATCTCTTTTACTTAAGCTAACGTTCAATACACCTGTGTTGTTGGAATCATGAATCATGACGTCAGTTTACTGGTTTTGAACAAGCAGGATTTGTTGTTGAATGAAAGGACAGAATGGACTCCAGTATTCTTTTCCTGGTACTTTGCTAACACTGGGTGAAGTAACTGAGATACCAGAGGTAAATGAGCTATAGAGAGACAAGCATATGTCATAGGTCTGTTTAATTTTGCAGCAATTTTAACATATGCACAAGTCATAAAACCTGTTCCTTCTCTAAGTGTAAAAGGTGTACTGAATAAAGAAAACATTTATGAATTATTCAAAGCAACTGCAGAACTTGTTTTAATGGAAATCCCGAAAGAATAATCAACTTCCCAAAGAAATCAACACTTTAGGAAAGCTAAAAGAATATAAGGAAAAGGGGGTTGAAGAGGGAGGGGTAAAGAGACAGAAGGCTGAAAAAAAATGCTCAATTTAACCATAATAAGCTGAAAAGCATTACTCACTGAACATACACATGCAAGAATAGATTGAGGAAAACTAGTGTTAACAGATCCTCCTGAAGAACTGAAAATAATGTACAAATTTCAAAATGTACATAATTTAAAGAGTAAAATAAAAGAGAGATGACTAGAAATAAGGAGGCTGACTCCACGGAGATGGGAAGGGGATCTGGGAAAGAGAGAAAGGAGAAGAGGAAATAAAAATTATCAAAATGCAGTATGTATATGTACTAATTCCCTAAGATGAACATTATTGTATATTACAAATATACACCAATCATGTAAAAATTGCAGGGTTTGTTTTGTCTTTTTTTTTTAAAGAATACCACAATAAAACAAAGTACTTTTGAGTAGGGAATTATAACATGGATAGGAACTGTGTCTTACCATAACTCTCTTTATGCAAGCATAACTGAGTACAAGAAAATGGAACATAAAAAGCAAATTAGTCAACCACCATAAGAACATTACAGGGTCTTGGGGCCAGTGAGATAGGGCAGCAGACTAAAGGGCCTGCTTAGGCAAGCTTAGGCAGGCGCAGGGACTGCGGTTCGATCCTTCAAACCACATTCCGCACCAGTCCCACCCCCAGGGCGCGCTGAACTGGCCAGGTCCTGGCATAGAGGTGTAGTGGGGTGTATGCCTATAATCCCAGCACTGGGGAAGATGAAAGCAAGAGGATCACCACAAGTCCAAGCTACACAGTGAGACCCTGTAACAACCAAATACATTAAGAAAAAAAAGAACATTACAGAGTCTTATATAGTAAGCCCAAGAATATATTTCTTACCACAACAACAAATTAGAAGTGGCTAAAAAATCAATAGAGGAAAATGAAAAACAGCATTCTAAGCAAAGAGGTCACATAAAAGCACTGCAAGTACAATGGACTCATACAGGCAAGCATATTGAAAAGCAAACTGAGGAAGAAACCTTAAGTAAAAGGACCAACACCGCAATGAAAGCCAGTCAGCCTGATGAGAAGGAAGAGAAACAACTCCATACATAAGCCAGTTGGTGGATGATTAGACTGTAAAATGATGAACAGTCTCTCAGCCTTCATGTGAAGTGGTTCCATTTGCGTGTGGTAATAACCTTACTTGTCAGAACAAACAAACTAGGAAGGTCAGATTCAGTGGACCTTAGAAGTCCAATGCGCTATCCACTGCGCAACAGAGCCATCTCATGGACCTTAGAGACAGAGTAAGACTGCAATATGTTTAAAACTCAAATAGTACCACTAGGGACTGAATTGTCTCCCCCAAATTCATATGCTGAAACCAATCCCAATGCAATCAATTAAGAAGTAGGACCATCAGGAGGTCATCAGCTCATGAGGAAAAGCCTTCATGGGGATTACTGCCTTTATACAACAGGTTCAAGAGAGATAATATTTTTCCTTTCCACCATGTGAAGACAGTTAAAACACATGGTCTGTGAAGAAGAGTCCTCAACAGACAGCAAATCGGCCAGTGAACTGATCTTAAGACTTACAAGCCCCCAGAATTACAAGCAATTAATTTCTATTGTTTTCAAGTTACCCACACTAAGGTACTTTTATGGCAGCCCTAATAGACAAGAGTTATAAATGTGTTTATTTTAGATAAACATTTTTGCTTTAATAAGAGCCTTATATGAAGAAAACCAACCTAAAATGGTTACTCGTAAACAGCTTTCCAGTGTTCAGCTCTTTTATTAAAATTAGCTTTGCACATCCAGTTTCTTCCCACTTAATAATGGGGATTATCTTTACTACAATGGGAATAGGACAGAAAACATCAGGAGGAATCATATATAGTGACAGTCAATGTTTCATGACCATTTCAGTTTTATGACTAGATAATGTGTGCACCATGTAAAACATCTATGGAAGGTCACTCACAGTCAGAAAAAGTTGGAGAAACACTATTCTGTACTATGAAGATGGGAGTCTTTCCCACAGAAAGTGAGGGGAGGGCACCCGAGATTCCAGGTTAGGAACCAGCTGCAGACAGAGTACTCCATAAGCAACAGGGGAAGGTTAACAGGTAGAGCACTTCTGCTGCTTCACACTCATATCCCACACTCCACAGTCATTCAGTTAACACAAACAGACCAGAACGCAATTCACTAATAGAGTAACTGCTGTTCTACTAAACGGTCTCTCTGAAGTGTGCTTATTTTTTAATACATTGAACATTTTTAAGATATAAATATATACGGGAAAATGTTTTCATGTAAATGTCTCAGAATTTTTTTTTTCAGCATAGGTACTCCTTGTAAAGACCCACCAACATACTTCCTTCTCCAAAGACCAAAGGACCTGCATGACACTGCCACCTGATGGCCACTGTGAAGAACTGCTGTCTATGTCTGGATGATGTTCACATACCTCTCCTTTGCCCCACCTTCAAGGAAGGCCTTTAGCCTCCTTCCCCTCAAAAGAACCTTAGGCACACAAGACATCATTGTGCCTGTCTTCTCTCTCAGGAGGGATACCACCCCACACCATCTTCCTCCAGAGTTAGCCACTAAACACCATGACATAATGTAAATGTTCTGTCTGTTCTCTCCAAGGTATATATCTACCCTGTCGATACAGCAGCCACTAGCCACATGTGACTATTACAATGCAAGTAAAGAACATAAGACCTCACAAAATAAGCAATCCTAGACTACGTACAAGATTTTTTTAAGTCTTAAATCAGAAGTGCAAATGTTGATTACTAAAAGCTCATTTAACACTAACTGGAATGTCATTAACAAGATGGAGATGGGAGAAGAACCCAGGGCTTTACTTACAATGCACACACCATATTACCACTGAGCTATAGCCCCAACTTGACATCAACATGTATGAGCACTGTACTTTCTCCTTTCTTATTAAACTAACTATAAAATATTCTCTAAGACTTCCTCCAATAACTCTACCACCCTAACTATTCGCATTACATTTTTACCCTTCTAAATTTCATTTACAGTCACAGAAACAAAAGTTCTTTTTAAAATCATTATATATTTATATTTCTATATTTATATTATTTTAATGACAATATGGTATACTAATTATGCTATAAAGCATGTATAACCACATATTACTAGATCAATGACTGTAAATATCTTTAACATTCAGCATAGTACTGAGTTACCCTGACAAAACAGTATGCGAACACATGCACGTGCGCACACATACAAACACCCACACACACAGAGAGAAAAGGGGAGATGATGGTGTCACATGAAGAAGTATGTCATATGATGAAAAGCTAGAGCATTCAAAAATGTTTTGGCTCTGCAAAACTGAGAGAATACGTGACGATGCTATTAAACAGTTTAAGTTGTTACATGTAACATCAAAATAGTTTTAAGGCATGTTGGGGGCAGAACTATAATCACAGATGGAAATAACAGAAATGGAGTTTTTAGGCCAAAATAATTCAACATTCCAAACTATAAGAATCATTCAAAAGGTAAACTACATAGGACACTACACTGGTCGTTATGTACTGCAAATATGTACCAATTTTAAAAAAGGGGGAGCAGTCAGATAGCTCAGTGGACTAAGCGCCTGCTTAGGAAAGCACAAGGCCTGGGGTTCAATCTCTGGCACCACAGACCACACTGGCCACGCCCCTGGGGCGCTGAGCCAGCCAATGAAACTGAGAGTGGTGCAACATGCCTGTAATTCCAGCACTGGGGAGGCTGAAAGCAGGAAGATCACTACAAGTCCGAGCTGTGTGGTGAGATCCTATACCAAGTACACTAAAAAAAAAAAAAAAAAAAAAAAAACAGTACTCTGTCTACCTCTGAAAACATTCAAATCTGCTAAGATAGATCATTAGGCACCAGAGATCATACGGGGTTCTTACACTGGATGATGGTAAGATTCCATAACTTCTCAGGATTTCTCTCACTACTATGCCCCTACTATAATTCCAACAATGTGTTGTGCCAGGTGGCATACAAAAGTGAACAAAACAAATACGGTTCCTATGCTTTTACGCACTTTTGGCCTAGTGGACAAGACAGAGAAAGAAGAACAAAGGTCAAGAAAACAAATGATCTGAATCCTAAGTGCTGTGAGGGAAGCACCATGAGATGCTTACTTGAGAAGTAAAGACCTGGGAGTGAAGGGAAGCCTCACAGAAGACAGGCAGCTCAGCTTGCAGAATGCTCTGTATGAAAGCCACTGAATGTGTAAAGAGAAAAATACCAAGATTTGATTTATAATTTGTAAAACATCATACTGGCTATTACATGAGGAGTGAATTCAAAGACACTGCAGAAGCAGGGAATGAGGTAAGAAACTAAATAGGGTCCCGATGAGAAATGAGAGACTCCACAGGTGGAAGTGAATGGACCGAAAGGAATGGATGGATTAGAAGAAGAGAGAGGCAGCAGTTACAGGAGATGGTCCTAAGTTAAACACAAAGGACAGGGAAACAAGGACAATTCTTAGGTTTCTGACTTACACAAATAATCACATGGAGCTGTCAACTTCTGAGGTGGGAAAGACCCATGAAAGAGTAGATGCAGAATACAACTTTAAGTCTCCATGATTTTCCTTAGACCCTCAACAGAACATGTCTGCCAAAAATCATTTATGATTCACTTTATGCTCAAGGGGCATTGAAGCCTTTTTATTCTTCAGAGGGAAAAATGTTATAAAGGCGACTGCATCAACTAAAAATAAAAACTGAAATACAAGTGGTATTTTAAACAAATATCAAAGTCAAATTCAGTGAAGTTCATAACTATACAATAAGTAAATATATAAGTAAAATGAAAAAGAAAATCCTATTCTCAGGCTATATATGTTGAATTATTTCAACATGGGGTTCACAGCCATGATATGCAAGTATGCAAGAGAACAAATGATAAGCAAATAACACAAAATACTAACAGGTTAAGTTGCTCTTGGTCTTATAACATTTGTGAATATGAAATTATTCTAAATTACTTTTTTAAGGACAGTGCCAGATTTCACTTATTCGTGCTAAGTAATTCAATTCCTTTCAATTCATCTCATATGTATCTTGCCCAAACCCACTCCAGCCATCATCTCTTTGCACATTAACCAGAGAAGGCTCCCCAAAGGGGAGACAGATGCATGCTCAGCACACTATAAAAAGGAGGCATGAAAAGAGGTAAACACTGTGAAATTTCTTGCAATTTGCCACCTCCTATGGGGTTTGCCATGTCTCTAACTCTGTTCTCTGCCATGTACCATGTCCCATGTCCTGATCCTTAGGCTGCTGGATGACAGCTTCCATTCAGCTTTGCACTTTCTCTTCTCATATAATATGCAACAATATATTTCACAACACAGATTCACTGCATGAGTTCCGATGTTCATAAGATATCTACATGAATCAGATGTTCCTCCTGCATGCTCTCCTGACATAGGCTGGTAGCCCTAGGTAGAGCAATTATCACATTTTATGTTTAAAATCATGTCATCCTGTGTTCTACTTTCTCTACTAGAGTAGGCACTCCTTCAGGACAAGGAACAAAAAATATTTTTTTTTCTATTCCTAAAGAGGTAGAAAAGGCATTCATAGCAATAAAACTATTGAGCAAAGAAATAAAATTATTGAAAACTCTACATGTTATAATTGCAACTTTACTAATAGCTACTTCTTTGGCTTTGGAGCCAGCTATATACAGACACTCTTACTTTAAAGTACAAAAAGAGGGCCGGGAGATAGCTTAATGGCACAAGTACCTGCCTGGCAAGCATAAGGTCTTGAGTTTGACCACAAAAAAAAAAGTACAAAAAGACATAACATTTAGAAATTATGATGAACAAATGAAGATGCTTATGACTTTATGCATAATCCCAAAATTTTGTTTACTTCTATAACACAATTATAAATTTATGAAATATGATTAATAAAAAGCAAAGTAATATCTCAAGCTGAGGCCTAAGTCTCACCCACACCATAAAATCAAAGTATATTCTATTTGTCCCACAGTAGCAACTGGCCAAAACAGTGTAAGGAACATTTCAGTGTCAAGATAACACTTTAGACAGAACTTTGTTCTCTATTATCAAAGAATCTTTAAGTAAAATTAAGCAAGATAACATTCAACTTAGTGAACAAACTAAAATTAAAATTGTATAAGAAAGATTAGAACATTCAACTTAGTAAACAAATTAAGAACTATTCTGTGAAAGGCAGTTTTTCAAATGATCCAGTTTTGAACTTGTAAATAAAACAGCATTCAGTTAGGATGTCATGAAGTACTTCAAAAAGAAAACTGTAAGACAGAAATGAATCTTTACCAAATGATTATAAAGTAACACTCTGAAATGTTCCACTACCAAATGTCAAAACACCAAAAGCCTTCAAAGACATTTCTAAGCCATCAAATTAACAAAATATAAATATATCCCCACTTCTTAAGGCCTAGTTCTCAGAAGTGGAGAACACAGGGATCCAAATCCAAACAGCAAGCAGCCCTTTGAGTTTTAGCATCCCTCCAACCTCCAAAGAACTAGAACCCAGTATTTCACACCCTAGGTGAGGCATAGCTCAAGTCCATGGCCTCTACAGACCCCTAATTCTTGAATCCCCATTATGCCCAAAGTTACTGCTCTGGACTCATCACCTAGAGTTGCCCCATGTCCCAGCTCCATCTGCAGAATGTCATATAACCAAGTTCAGACACAGGACCTTGGCAACAGTGGGCAAAGCCTCTTACTAGTTAAAAGAATAAAATGGAAGATACAAAGTTTCTTACTCATGTGCTCTCTTATGTCCTTGCAGTCAATTTTCCTAGCCTCCTTTAGATTTCTCCCACTTGTGGGACAGATAAAATACATGTGAAATACACAAAAGTATCTCAAACTTGTTCATTTTGGCCAGAACCATCATCTTCCAGTAATTTGCCAAAATGACCAACACAAAGGGCAAGAGGGGAACTGGTATAAATTCTCCAAGCCTTTTAGAAAACATGGGGTTGCTCCTTTGGCCACATACATGCAAATCTACAGAAAGGGTAATATTGTTGACATCAAGGGAATGGGTACTGTGTAAAAAAGAATGCCACACAAATATTACCAAGGCAAAATAGGAAGAGTCTACAATGTTACCCAGCATGCCGCTGGTATTGTTATAAACAAACAAATTAAAGGCAAGATACTCACCAAGAGGTAATGTGCATTTCAAGCATATTAAACACTCAGAGTAATGACAACTTCCTGAAATGTGTCAAGGAAAATGATCAGAAAAGAAGCTGAAGAGAAAGGTACCAACAGAAGTGTCAGCCTGCCCCACCTAAAGAAGCATACTCTGAGAACCAATGGCAAAAGCGTGAGTTGTTGGAACCTATTCCCTATGAATTCATGGCATAAGATGGGGCTGTAGCTCTGCCACTGAGCACCTAATTGGCAGCTCAATTAGGTGTAGGTCCTACTTAAAAATTTAAAAAATCATCCTGTATTGTTTCCTTAGTTGAACAAGTGTGTAGTGCCTTCTTACCTCAGAAATACTTGGAGCAGGGGCCGGGGAGATGACTCAGTGGAATAAGTGCTTCCCTGGCAAGCACAGGGGCCTGAGTTCAATCCCCGGTTCTGCAAAAAAAAAAAAAAAAAAAAAAAAAAAGAAAAGAAAAAAAGAAATACTTGGAGCACATTTTCATTGTACCTAGTAATTGTGTCCAGTCTTTACTCTTCAGTGTTTTTCTTGTTGAAAGATAATGCTGAGGTACTGTGCACCACTCTCTCAGCTCAAAGGACTCACTCACTGGGATCTACCTTGGAAATTCTGAATCCTTTCCATTCCCACACCACCCAGCGGGAGGCCTGTAAGCAGATTAACACAGATCAAAATGATAAACACAACCCACTCTCAGCTTTAAAATGCTATCGTACAATGTGCTCAAATTGATTTTCCAAGGAAAGAGCCAAGTGAGAAATCCAGGGGCAATCTCATAAACACCTAAATCATCAGAAAATCGATAAAGATCAACAATAAAGCAACGACCAAAGCTAAGATGACACCCTTAACACTTCGGCAAAATGGTCACAGAACACAGAATATGAGACTCTTAAATTTAAAGTATTCTAAAAATATGGACTTCTTTAAGGTCACAATGTACAAAATCCTATCTACTGTTAGTGCACCAAGAAGTTTCCATCAACTAAAAAGCTCTTCTATGACTATGCTCCAAATCCAGGAAATTATTTTTCAATACTAACATCTGTGGTTCATGGAAAATAAAAATGAACGGCAGAAAGAGACACACAAAGTATTGTAAGTATAAGTGCTTTCAGCATTTCTAAATTTATCTCAGGTATCCACTCAACAGTCCTAAGCAATTACAGTAGAAGTGTGGTGAGATATATTACAACAAAAAGAAAATAGTGAAAAGGAGTACCCATCAAGATTTACGCCCAAAAAATAGTTGATTACACTTCAATTTAGATTTCTTTGCTGTTTTAAAATATTTTTCCTTTTCAAAAAGGTAACCCAATCACCACAGTGGCTCATGCCTGTGATCCCAGCTACTTGGAGGCAAGTAGTAAGACTTGTAAGCTTGAAGCCAGCCAGAAAACTTAGAAAGATCCTGTTTGAAAACAAAAATAAAAAAGGACTTGCCAGTGTGTTCAAGTACCAAGGTCAATCTCTAGAACCTACCTACTACCAACCAAACCAAAACATGGTAAAGCAAACAAAGTACTGCATAGTAGAATTATGGTCTGTGTCAGAATGTCCCCCCAAAACCTCATCAGTCATTGGGTGGGCTTCTAGAATTTTTGATTGACTCATGCATGGTCCAATGATGGGATTATGAGTGTGAGTACAGGCAGCCTGCACACAGTATAGGGGAGGGAAAGAGGCTTGCTCTCTGCCACTCCTCCTTTTCTGCTCCTGATGCTTTTGCTGTTTTCCACCTGCAGGAATGGCTGCCCTCTGCCATGTACCACTCTGCCTTGGAACCAGCCAAGTATGGTTCCAAGGCAGAGTGGTACATTTTGTTCTAATGGGAGAAAAGTAACAAGGACAAATTACCATACTGGGAGGACCACCTGGGTAACTCTCCTTGACAGAAAAGCAATTGTCTCCATTTTGGCTGTGCCTGACCCTATTTCCATAAATTGATGTGTACAGACCTGGCTAGGACTTTTTGTTATCCTTTCAATTGGCTTTAAGCAATGTATATATATGGTCTAACCGGGGTGCTGGTGGTAGTCTTTGAAGACAGGCAGGTGTGTTCACCCTGGAACACCCCACCTGCTGCTCTGTAGTGTGAGCCTAGTGGAGATCAGATGGGATGAACAGCCAAGACTCCACATGTCTGGCAGCATGGGATGATCCTGGGATCAAGCTTGGAGACAAGAGCTGTGACTTCCTGAGGCCCAAAAGATTAGCTATCAGCACTGAAGCACTGATCCCAAAACATGAGGTACTATCTCAATTGTATAATGCAGATTACTCTTTTCTGCATATCTTTCTCTCTGCATATTAAAAAGGTAAATGCAGCCCTCCTAGCTATCCAGCTCATGGCACTTATCTACTTCTGCCATTCTCATTCACTCATCTC